ATTTTTAAAAATTTAAAAAATAACTCTTCAAAGCATAAAAATTTGCTCCTTAATAATTAGTAGATGTGAAAAGCATTACCACTGAAATCTACCTGATGACTTTATATCCATGCTCAGATGCCAAGAAGCTCAGAAATTAACCAACTGTCACTAGTAATAATCAGAGAATAGAAACGCATGTGCAAACATCTTAATGTCAATTGCCTTGAAAATGAATTTTTCTGTATGAAACTGTATATTTTAAGAATGAAATGGAGATCTTTTTTAAAAGTTAAAACCTCATTTAATTTTATGTCATATATAGGGCTTATACTGAGTAAAATATTGTATAACTGTAACAATTCAACTGTAAACCTAAAAATTTACAGCCAATTTTGAAAAAGATGCATCTTAGCTCAAAAAATTGTTATTGAATATGTCAATGCTGTTGTAATGAAATGCTTCTTCTAAGTATGTGGTTATTAAATAAATAATAAACTGAAAAAAAAGAAAACTAAAAAAATAATAATTTCAAGAGAATAAAAAAAAGAAACATGATAGGGTTTAAGATAACTCAGGCCAACTCAAAGACAATATATAAATTACTAATATTGGTAATGTAAGAGGTGCTGGCTATGCTAATCCCATGGATATTAAAAGGACTACTGAAGATTTTATGAATTCCATGTCCATAAATTTAATAAACTGGGTGAAATCAAGCCATTCCTGGTAAGAAATGATAGACAAAGATGGGTGTGATGGTGCACAGTTATAATCTCAGCACTCTAAGGTGGAGGGAGGAGAATCAGAAGTCAAGGCCAGCCTAAGCTATATAGTAGTAGTTCAAGGCCAGCCTGAGTTACATAAGATCCTGTGTCAAAAACAAACAAACAAAAAACACCAAAAGGACAAAATCAACAAAAACTCACAAGAAGTCAAAGAATATAAATAAGAGTACATATATTGGGCATGGTAGTGCATGCTTTTAATATCCCAGCACTTGGGAGGAGGTAGAGATAGGCAGATCTCTATGAGTTCAAAGCCAGCTTAGTCTACATAGAGAATTGCAGGCCAGCCCAATTAGGGCTGTATAGTTAGACTCTATCCAAAGGAAAAAAGAAGACAATTATTAAGTTTATTATGAGTTTCATACTACTATCACACCAAAATAAGATAGAAACATTACAAAGTACCAAAATCACAGCCCCACATCTCAGTAATTCCAAGTTCCATATATTAACATACCACAAGAAAGTGAGAATTATGTAAATATGCAAGACACAGACAATATTTAAAAATAAATGTATAGAACCCATCATCTAAACAAACTAAGGTACAAAAGTCTTAGGATCAAAAGACTAGAGAATGCTGGAGAAATAGTTCAACGGTTAAGAGCATGGTCTGCTTTTGCAGAAGATTCAAGTTTGGTTCCCAGCAACCGCATAGAGAAGCTGGGAACTGTTTTCTAACTCTACACACAGGCCCATATAATGAAAAAATATCTTTTAAAAAAAGACGATAGAGAAATCATATGGCAATAAATAATAAGTGGGATCAGTACTGAAAAAGGAATAAAACTGTCTTTGTTCACATTGTCTATATACAAAATGTCAAAGAATGAATAAAAAATTCTGGGGATTAATAAATGGTTGTGGTAAGATTATGCAAGACTACCTAAATATTTTTAAATATGTCATTTTGCTACATATAAACTAGAAACAACCAAATCTGAAAATAAAAACACAACATTATCCACATAGTATAAAAAGAAAGAGGGAAGGGAGGCCACCAGAAATAGAATCTCATAAAACATGAAGGATGACATAAAGTGCCAAATGCCAGAAATAATTATATAAGCAAGATAGAATCATAAATTATGTTTACTACTAAGTTCAATGCTACACAGCCAAAACAGATTATTTCAAGTGTTAAAAAATCACATAATAAATAAATGTATCAATGAAAGGTCAAATGAGAATTTCAATAACTACCAAATTTTTCTACAAACTTCAAATTCACAGAAAATCAAAAATCACCTAATTTTTTATCCCACTGTGTATAAAATTTTGTGAAAAAATATACACCTGAGCACAAAATCCAGGATAATTTTATCAGTATGATCAAAAAATAAATTCAAAACAAGTGAAGTCTCAGAAGCAGAGGAATTAGTGGGTGAACTGGTGACTTAACTACAACTTTATGTACCATCATATATAAAGAGATTCAGGCAAAGAACATCATAAAACATATTTTGGGGGCTTTTCTATATTAAAGCTATATTAGGGGATGAAGAGATGGCTCAGCAGTTAAGAGCTCTTACTGCTTTTGTAGAGGGCCGAGCACCCACATGGCAGTTCACAACCATCTGTAACTTCAGTTTCAGGAGATGTGATGCTCTCTTCTGGACTCTGCAGGTTCCTATACATGCATGGTGCATAAAACTCACACGCACACATAAATCAACATAAAAATAATTTTTTGATGGCTCATTGGCCTCACTACCTGAATTCAATCTCTGGACCCTACATAAAGTTGTAATGAGAGGAATGACTCCACAAAGTTGTTCTCTGACCTCCACACAGAAGAATGAATACCCACACATATATATCATGTGCTCACACAATAATTTGAATAAACATTATTTTAAAAAGCTTTCTTAACTACTGCCTTATTCAAACTCAAAAATGGTGAAACCAAGTGAAACTTTGCTTACTGATAAGTAGAGGCAAAGTTATGAACAATGTCCAAAAGCACCCATGCAATTGGGTAGAATATATTGTCAGCAAAATTTTACCAAGGAAACATAAATAAATCAGCTCGGAAAAGCAATCTGCTTTACTCAGAATTCACACATCCAGAAGGTTAAACATGTACCTCAGCTTAGAGATCCTATAATTGCCTAGGGTGCATCAACTTCTAGAGAGTGAGAAGCTGGCACACCCAGGAAATTTCATTCTGTGTCCTCCAAGCACCATCCTCTCCCCTCTTCTCTGTGTGAAGTTTCCCTCCTTCACAGGATCAATTCTGATAAGTGAAAACCACCCAGTCAGTTGAAAGTAGAGCCTTGTGGCACTATTTTCTGACAACTCACTCCAAAAGGGTGCACCTTGCTGAACACTAACAGATTTTCCACTGTCAACTGGGTGTCCCTCAATTCAATTCAGATACTACCCAGACTTAGCAAAATCCTGACAAGTTCAGGGTATTCTAACCACACTGTTTTCAGTGTTAGTTCAAAGCACCTGTACTATCTGGGTATCAGTTTCTATTCAGAAATAATAAGAGGGGTGGCACTTAGTCACCTAGTTAGCATGCATTTTAGTATTGCAAGACCCCAAAACATTCCTATTGATTAGGAAATTCCATAGGGTTTACAGTCTCTGTGCCAGAATCTGGAACAAAGATAAATTTATACAAATATATATGTATATATACTCAAAATCATAAATATTTTTGTTCAGCAGGCAAAACATGGTAGGTTCCTGGCAGGCTCCTAAAATGGCAGCTTCCAACATTCTAAAACAGTGGGTTCAAACTTAGCCCCAGGTAAGTCCCTTTGCTTATTGGAGACCAACCTATTCCGAGCCAAATTGCCCAATCTACATCATGGAAAGTTACCCAATCACCTAACTGGGTGACTTCCCCTGCTCGGTGCTGTTTCCCTGTTCCCTGAGAGGCAGCCCAGCAGTCTGTTTGCTCTTAAATAAAATGCTGCCCCTGCCCCCAAGGAGATGTCTAGCTGGTGGTCTCCGCTGCTCCACGTCCATACAAAACACAAATGTATGTGCGTTGGTGGTATAGTGATGAGCATAGCTGCCTTCCAAAACACAAATGTACCCTCAGTGGGTACAAATTACAGGCTGACAACAGCAATTAGCTAGATAGAAAACAAAAACAGCTGGTGTTGCACTTTACCCAGGTGCTTTACTTCTAGTTAGCAGTAATTACAGATGTCCTAATTCACATTGCTTTCTGTTCTTGACAAATACCTTTCCCCTGAATTTAAATGAAGCTAACTTCCACTCCCCAATTTTTAACTTATGACTTGGAAAAACACACTTTTCAAATCACCCGCCCCCCCCCACATACACACTTTTTTGCATTTGAAAAAATGTTTAAATAAAAATGACAGAAACACTCATCAATTTTGGATAAAGTGCAACAAAACACTTATCAAGTTGCTCAAGTTTTTCTCCTTTGAGGACAGCTGTCATTATTGACCCAATCCCAACTTGAGCTAGTACACAACTCGCTTCCTCTATTCATGCTCTGAGGAGAAGTGACCTGGGATGGAGGGATCAATGGCACACTGTTCAAGAAACTGACTGTGCCACCTTCTTTCTACTGCTATTTGCCCACAAATAGAAATGAAAAGGCCTTTTCTGCCTAACCACTGAGATGTCTGTACATTCAGCGTTTTAAAATATCAAGACCATGCAAAAACCTTTGGTTACAGCGGTGACGGGTCTCCCTTCCACTCCAACAGAACTTGAGTATGGCAATCTGGGCAAGCTCCTGGAAGCTTAGGGATTGTCAATCCTAACAAAAAACAACTCTGAGCTGAAGGGACAGGGTTATATATATTTTACTCACTGCTTCCCATGAACTAGAAAGACAGGAAAACCCAGCTCTCCCAGGAAGAACGAAGGGACCCCCACCCCCCCACCCTCCGGGGTCAGGTCAGGAACTCCAGGCACAGCTGCCCAGAGGCTCAGGCGAGTAGCAGAAGGACCTCCGGCAGCCCTGCCCGCCCACCTCGCACACCCGCCCCTGCGAGGCTCACCATGTCCGCGCCTGGGCTCACTGAGACTCCCGGGCTCGGTGGTCGCAGGGCCACCAAGGTTAAGCTGCCCCAGATTCCTTCAGGTGACAAGATAACACTGTTGGTATGCCTGCGCCAGGAAAAATGAAGGCGGGTGAAGAACTTCCGCTCCGCTCACCGTGTATCTGATTGGATAGCTGGTGCTGCCTTCCCCTGTGGTTCTCCCGGAGGTCACAGGGCACCAGAAGCTACACAGCCCATACTCCCTCAGTTGACCGGACTGTGCTAAGACTGTAATCGTGCCAGTAAGAAAGATGGCGTCTGAGGAACTTCCGCTATCCCCATCAGCTCTCCTGATTGGACAGTTTATACTGTCCGCTCCTGCAGCCCTCATTGGCTAGTATTCAGGCCTGAGCCCTGAATGAAGGGATATGCAATCCTCTACCTGCTTGAAAAGAGGCAAAATGACACATTCCACGTTCCATCCACAGCCCGCCAAACCCAGTCTTCCTCCCTAGGAGCAGAACTGCCTAGATGGTGCTGTGACTCTCTCCCCTCCCACTTTCGTCTCCTCTTCCCTCCCTGTTTTATTATGTAGCTGTAGTTGGCCTTGAACTGAATTTGAAAAATATAAAAGTCAGGAGCCATGAAGCCTCTCAGACAAGTCACGTCTCAGGCAGGTCATGTGCTGGTCAAGAATTCCAACTTGCCGATAAGTAAGCTTCATGGCCAACTCTCTAATTAGTGAGTTTCATGGCTGAGACATCTCTAACTCACAGATAAGTAAGTTTATGGTTGAAACATCTGGCTTAATGATAAATAAGCCCCCCC